AAACCAAGTTGGTGGCATAGGGTAGACACCTGAATGCAGCCTACCACAACAAATTTGAATTTAGAACTGGAAAACAGGGGAAACATCGCCCTGAAGCACCAGATGGCTGGCTGAGAGGAGGCTCTCCCATCTGGGAAGGAAAGAAGGCGCGCTGAACCTCAGGAACTGTGAAGGTGTGGTGAACTGTGCGTGTGAAAAGGCAGCTGCCTGACTTGGCTGCTGGCTAGCTTGCAGAGCGCAAAGAGGGCGGACAGCTAATGCTTGGCTGGCTTTCTTGTTCGGGAGAAAAATAGAACCACCCTATTGCTCTGACAGACGGCCCCAGACAGGGAGAGGCCAGACTGTGAGGCAGTGGGAAGAGATCTCTTGGAGGTGTGTGAAGCCAGCAGCCATTACTGCGAAACTCAGAAACCAGACCCTCGTAGAGAGGGGCTGAATAGAACTTGTCTTCACCACCCTGAGACTCCACCCCATCCAAGCGGAGTACAGAAGCCCTTCCAGTGGCTAGCTTTCTCGTTCACCGCGAATAGGACTCTCCTAGGGAGGGACAGACAGGAATCCAAAGCTTGTCTGTGCCTATACCAAAGAGGTGCGTGCACACCTGCAACCAATCTTGTGGGATTCACCACAAGCTTAGCTGTGCTTCCCCGAGACTCCGCCCCATCCAAGTGGAATTCAGAAACCCTCCTAGCTGAGACACTTCTGATCCTCATAGCAAATTGGCTTGGAGATAAACGCTTCCCAGTGATAGCAACAACAATCAAGGCTTAACAACAAGACTGCACACACAGCCCACAAAGGGCTACACCAAGACTACCCACCTCAGGTAACTGGGAGACTGACCCACTGAACCATATAGTACACCTTAGCACACAAAGCCACCCTACCAACTCAGGGAAGTTGTGAAAATGCCAAGACAAGGAAACAGATCACAAACAAAAGAAATGGAGGACAAGAAACAACTGGATATAGAGTTCAAAACCACGGTTATAAGGTTTTTCAAGAATTTCCTAAAAAAGGCCGATAAAATAAACAAGACCTATGAGGATATGAAAAGGGATCAACTAGAAATAAAGAATACATTGTCTGAAGTAAAAAAATATTATACAGAATCCTATAAACAGAATGGAAGATCGCAAGAATCAAGTCAAAGATTTGGAACACAAAGAGCCAGAGGACACTCCTCCACAGAAGCAAGAAGACAAGAGAATCCAGAAAGTAGAAGATAGTGTAAAAAACCTCTGGGACAATTTCAAACAAACCAACATCAGAATTATGGGGGTCCCAGAAGAAGAGAGAGAGCAAGATACTGAAAGAATACTGGAAGAAATAGTGACAGAAAACTTCCCCCACCTGGGGAAAGAAATAGACTTACAAGTCCTGGAAGTGCACAGAACCCCAAACAAAAGGAATCCAAAGAGGACCACACCAAGACACATCATAATTAAAATCCCAAGAGCAAAAGACAAAGAGAGAATATTAAAAGCAGCAAGAGAAAAGCAGGTAGTTACCTATAAAGGAGCACCCATATGATTATCAGCTGATTTCTCAACAGAAACCATGCAGGCCAGACGGGAATGGCAAGAAATATTCAAGGCGATGAATAGCAAGAATCTACAGCCAAAAATACTCTACCCAGCAAAGCTATCACTCAGAATCGAAGGCCAGATAAAGAGCTTCACAAAAAAAAAAAAAAAAAAAAAAAAAAAAAAAAAGCTAAAGGAGTTCATCACCTCCAAACCAGAATTATATGAATTGCTGAAAGGGGTTCTTTAGGAAGAGAAAGAAGATATAGATAAAAATTATGAACAACAAATACGTAACTATCAACAAGTGAATCTAAAAACCAAGGGAATTAAAAAAACCTGATGAACAATATTAACTGGTGAATATAATAGAATCAGAGGTATGGAAGGGGAGTGAACGGACGATTCTTGGGGAAAAGGGGAGTGGGGGGTGCGGGAAGAGCCTGAACAAAAACTGTGCACCTATGGATGAGGACAATGGGGGGTGGGGCAAGGGCAGAGGGTGGGGTGGGAACCTGGTGGAGGGGAGCAATGGAGGGGGAAAAAATGAGGAACATTTGTAATAATATGAATAAAGATTTATTTAAAAAATAAAAAACAAACAAACAAAAACAAAGTTCATATTCCCAGTTGCAGTGGACTTTGAGAAAATCAACTGATTGGCTTTTTCTATTTAATACTGTTAATGTAGGGAATATTTCCTATGAATTTAAATGTTATTAGCACAATCTTTGGTGTCAGTTTGCTATTCTTATATCCAACATAGTAACAGGATTTTTATTTCTATTTTGGAAACCTTACAGACATGTTTACATGTCATGATGTAAGCGATATTTCTTACTGGGAGCTGTGAAAAAAAAAAAAAAAAACACCATGCAAACGTTTGAAAAACACTTCTTTGGTAGCTGATACTGGGAGTGAGAGAGGAAGCGGATCTTCACCAATTTGATCTGAGGGACATTTTAGTAAGTTTGGTTTAAAAATAAAGAAGTGAGGGCAGTGGGGAGGGACTCAGTATTTCCTGAATGATGACCATGTTGTAGACACTGTGCTTGATCTTCACCCACCCAACAAGAATTGGCCTTTCGTTGGAAGGGAAGGGGTAGGGGGGAGGAAAAGGGCTTGTCAGGGATTTTGCCTGTTTTCTAGAAAAAGGGAGATTCCTTCAAGATTACAACTAGCAAAAGGCAGTTTCTGAAATCCAACTCGACAGTCATTTGACTATTAATTGCCGTTTCGTAGCTGTAGTGAAGGAGCAGAGGAGCCTAAGTTGTATCTTTAAAGTTAGCTTTGTAAAATCCTATGTGGTTCTAAATCATGACTGCCATTGTCACCACAGCTGATATTTATTAAGTCCTCACTCTGTCCCAGGCACTGTGTATTTAAGCTTTAAAACCTTCATTTCATTTAATCCTCACAAATGCCTTATGAACCATGTGCTAGGATCATCCCAATTTGTTGGAGGCTTTTCGCAGGTTAGTAAGTTAACCAACATCATGGATGCAAAATCCAAATGCACATTAAATAGTTGAATGTATCTTTAGTTACCTTTCCTGCACATACTCAGGGAAAATGCCTGCTAAAAGAGCTATTTCCCCCTTCAAGTGCTGGAATCAAAACAGTTGAAATCTCACCTCTAAAATAAAAGTGAGATTAGATGTTCACTTAGGACTTCACACATTCAGCATTCTCTGGTTTTAAAAGGTGTTACGCAGGTAGCCTTCCATTTAAAGAACACCAGACAAACACAGCAGTCTTTTTTACTTCAGCATCCTGGCTACTTACACTGCAAGGCTGGCTCATAAACACCCAGAGCAACATTTTCTGAAGTCCCTGTCCATTTAGCAATATGCTTACTAGAAGAATATACCATTTGGTCATCATCACTGTATTAGAAAAATGTTCCTTGTTCAATATTCTCCATAAAAACTAAATAGCTTATAAAACAATATGCTGGTGATTTAAGGACTGGGGTTTATACCCTAGAGGGACTTTTATCTGTCAGGCTTCTTTTCTCATCCTATTGACCTGGAGGACTGCTGGCTACAAAATCTGGCCTCTTTCAGCTCAGGAACACTCTGGGGAAGGAAGGCCCAGGGGCAGAGGAGGGGGGCAAATCTCTATTTTCCTAAAAAGGCAGCTCAAGCAGCTTCATAAATCCTTAGTTGACTTTGAGCTATACATGTGAAGCATAAAAGGGAAAACTGTGCAACATTGTGAGATTTTTATGAATTTGTTTTCATAGTCAAATTGATGACTGCTCTGGTGAAATTTCAGGCACTTCGATTTAGGTGAGGTCTGGTCTGTTTTCTTGTGTATGTGGGTATCCAACATCTAGTTTTGTCGGTTTCACATCATTTGTAGACCCTGTACCCTGCAGAAAATGTGGTAAGCTAGAGGTCCTTAGGGATACCAATTTTCTAGTTTTTCTATCCTTTGGCAATCCTCCTTCCCTTAGTATTAAGCTTAAATTACTGTAGAATTTTGCCTGAATGTGTTACCTCTGGGTGATTTTTTCATGTCCCATTTAGCTTGTAGAAAACGAAATTCTGCCTCTACCTTCATATTACATCTTTTCCCTCAAAAAATACAAGACTTAAATTGGTTTGTGGGCCAAGTGAGCTGACCACCCATTGACAAAGAGGTAAGAGGGGAGTTATTCTTAAAAGAGAGGGCAGATTTCAACAGGAAACGATACGTTCTGGTTTGCAAGATTACACCAGTATCCCCACTGCAAAGGGCTGAAAGAGCCTGCACATTCAGCTAGCCTTTCCCTACCTGGTTTCACTCACGCAGATCACACTTCTGTCATCTTCCCAAGAGACAAAAACCAGACACAAAGCCGGGCTTTCCAAAGCAGGCAGGGGACTGGCCTAGAGGTTGAAGATGAGCAGAGGTGAGTGTTGGACCCCTGAAGGGGAGATATTGAGCCAGGGGGAAGTCAGGGAAGCGGGTGAATAGAAAAAAAAAAGTAGAAAAGTGACCGTGAGAAAGTTTAGCAAAGAGCTGAATGCTGTAGTCCCACAGAACACACTCTGAATCAATCATACCGAACATCGGGACATACTTGAGGACACATCATTACCCCCAAGAGTGAAATAAATGCATTTCTGGGCCACTATGGTTGTCACCACATCTAAAACCTAAAAGCAAGTGTCAGATGCAAGGAAGAAGTAATTAGGCATTGTAAAGGTGGTGTTATGACATCTACCGATTCCGTTTTAGCAATTAAGAGGAGCCTAAAGACTGGAGGAGGGGCAGCCTCGAGGTTTCCTTCTCAGTTGCACCTGCTTCAGCAGGGCCTGGGCGAATAAGAGAGGAAAACAACAGGTTCCCACAGGTAACACTACCCAGTCCCGCACCTCCAGGCGCCCGTGCCCAGAGCCGGCCCAGGCCAGGCTGCCCTGCGGGAGGCCAGCTCTGCTAGGCAGGCAGCGCCCGGGGCCCAGGTGGGACCCCCTCCCCACGGCTCACCTGCTGGGAGCCAGGTGAAGAGCAGCAGCCAAGGTGCGGGGACCGCGAGGCCCATGCCGGCGCCTCTCCGGCCCCTTTCGGTTCTGGGCTGGGCCCTGCCCTTGGTCCTCGGCGGCCCTGGGACGCAGCACCTCCGCCGGATCCCTCCGCTGTCGCTCGCTGGCTCGGTAGGCGCCGGCGGAGGCGGCCGGCAGGTGCGCGGCTCTGACCCACCTGGGCGCCCCCGCCCCGCCTCCCGCCCCGCCCCGCCCCGCCCCGCCCGCGGGCCCGGCCACCTGTCCTCCCTGCGCTGCCCAGCCCGCCTCTGCAGGCGTTCCTCCTCCCGCCGAAAAGCGTCTCCCGCCCGCCCGTGGGGAACTGCTGCCACTTTTCTCCAAAGTTCTCGGGAACCGCCGCCCCTAGATAATTGATCCCCCGCGTTTTGTAGAATTCTGTAAAGAGAACTTTCTGGGGAGCAGTTCCTATGTTTTTCCATTCACTCCCACGTGCTTGGAAAACATTCTTTTTCTTTATTTTTGGTCTCCCCCCCCCCAGCACCCTCCCCCCTTCACTACAACACACTGATGTAAGGTTTACACATTGTGTCTATTCAGGTTCTGTAGAAACTAAAGATATAGCATGTGAGCTGAGAAATAATCTTCGATTAGGATAAAAGTAACAGATATTTATTATAGAAAGGTAAGAAAAACGTAAATGGATGGAGATAAGTAAATCCTGATAGTCAGGCATGTCTTGATGTTGGTATATTCCTTTTTTGCTATTTCCCATCCTGCATGCAACTCAGCGGCCCTTCGCAGACCTCAGGCCTCCAAGGTCAGGGCTTCGAGGTCTCTTCACAGCGGGCTGTGGAGGGCATCGTTTGCATTTACTTCTTCCTTGGCAGGAACTCACCGGGAGAGGAAAAGGAAAAAAGAAGGAAGGCTCACTTTGCCTCTAGGATAAGGTGGACCAGACGTCCCGCTTTTGGTGGGGACAGTTCCGATTTTTAACAATTTGTCCCGCGTCCCCCCGCGTTAAAACTCTGGGGAGGGAGGGTATGTATGAGAGGGGCGGGGCAATGTTAAATATGTACACAGATAATAATTTAATTAAAAAATGTAAAAAAAAAATCCCGAATTTTGGAAAGAATGCTCGACAAGGTAGGGAACGGCAGTGGGAGAACGGGAAGGGAATATACGGTTTTCCGCGCCCAAATGCCATCTGCCCTTGCCCATGACTTCCTGAATTTACTTCCCATTTCCTGAAAGAGAAGAAACTACAAGAAAAACATTTACTGCGAAGAGGCCTATTTGGGGAACCAGTTGTCAGACCCAGTAGTGGAGCGAGGGAGGGGAGAAGGGACTGTAGAGACCTCCCATCAGATTCAGGACAAGGGCAATCCTCAGTGGGAGGTGAGGCAGGGACACTTATACCGTGAGTGAAGAGGACTCTGCAGAGCAGAGCAGGGTAGGGATACACTTAAGAGAAACAATATTGACTTCTAAGGTCAGTGCCTAGAATGAAAACTTCCAGAGGAGCAGAAACCATGTTAAATGCACCTTTATAATGCTTTTGTTGAGGAAAAAGCTGGTAGCTAGGAGGGAGGAGAACTGTGTACCTTACAGAAGGGGGAGCATGATGAAAAATCCCTGGTAAGCCAGGACCGGTTTGGCTCAGTGGTAGAGCGTCAGCCAGTGGACTGAAAGGTCCCGGGTTCGATTCCGGTCAAGGGCATGTACCTTAGTTGCGGGCATATTCTTAGTAGGGGGTGTGCAAGAGGCAGCTGATTGATGATTCTCTCTCATGGATGTTTCTAACTCTCTATCCCTCTCTCTTCCTCTCTGTGAAAAATCAATAAAATATTTTTTTTTTTTTAAAAAAAAGAAAGAAAAATCCCTGATAAGGGAGAGGCTTATAAAACAGCTTGCTGTCTATTCACATTGACTACTGTATGGTGATTTTCCAAATTAACATGGTTGATTGGTTCCTAACAGTATGTTTAGGAGCCTTAAGATCTTGCACTGTGGGAGCCCAGCACAGCAGCAGCAAGATGCAATGTGAGTGAGGGGTGCTTTCCTTCCCCTCTCCAGAGACCCTGCACATACTCCCAGGAACAGTGTATGTGTCTAAGTGTTTGTGGTTCTGAGGGATTTTGTGTGGTTGCTGGCTTAGAGAATTGTTGTGGGCAAATTTTCAGTCTCAGTCTAAAAAAGTATGAACACTCTCCTTCCCACACCTACACCCATGCCCCTCAGCCCTTGCTCTGGTATAAAGGTCATTTTAATATTCATTGAAGCCAGCATTTCTCCGTGTTTATTTCATGGGACAGTAGTTTCATGGAATGTTAATAAAGAATATATGGGGGAAAGGCTCTGGGATCAAATAAATTAAAGAAATGCTGGATTAAATGAAATTAAACATTTTTTAAGGACTTGTTAAACCTTTAGGGTGCTAGTGTACATTTGAATTTCCAAGGGAATATTTCGCAGCATTATTCAATCACAATCCCCCCCCCCCCCCACACACACACATATCTCAGGCAGATGTTCCATGAAACATATTCTGAGAAATCCTAATTGGCAGGGGTTGGAGACTTCTATAGGAACAAAACAAACAAACAAACAAACAAACAAACAAACAAAAACACACACTATTTTAACAAAAGTTATCCAAGTGCAGAATTACAATTTTCTTATTTTCTCTTGGGAATCACTTAGTTGAACTTCTACCTCCATTGCTTCTCTTGCAGTGAACTCTTTATAGTTAACTTTAGATGTTCCTTTGTCTATTACACACATCTTTTTTCCTTCACCATTTATATATTATAAACCAAGCAATGTTCTATGTAATTTACAAGCATTATCTCATTAAGTTCCCATAATTGCTGTATAAAATAAGCACTCTTCATCACATTTTAAAATAATTTAAAATAATTTTGATTCATTCAAACCAATGGCTATTGTACTGTTGTTGTCATTTTTTAAAATCTTTATTGTTAAAAGTATTACATACTCTTTTCCCCATTGACCCCTCCCCCCCCCCAAGCCTGTGGCCTTCACTACACTATTATCTGTGTCCATGGATTAGGCATTTATGCATATAAATTCTTCTCACTCACCCACCCCTGCCTCTGAAGTTCAACAGTCAGTTCCATGCTTCTGTGTCTTTTTGCTGGTGGTGAGTGTTGCCTTCAATTTGTAAAAAATACAACATCTTTGAAGCACAGTAAGGCGAAGCTAAATAAAAGATATTCCTTTTATTAAAAACACAATAAAAGATATTCCTAATCTTTTCTTTATGCCTCAAACTAAATTCCAAATTGATTAAAATCTGTTACAAAAAAAAAATTCAAGCTTTTAGAAGAACATCTGATAGAATACCCATATGATATTGAAGGAAAGAGTAAATTCTTGAATAAAAACAAAAAGAATAATTCATTAAGGAAGACATACATAAGATTAAATTAAATTTAAGAGTTCTACAAACAAAAGATAGCATATACAAAATGAAAAAAACAAGTCACAAAATAGAAATAGATATTTGCTATGCATTTAAAAAGCAAAAAAATATAACCAGTAAGATTTTAAAAATTTCTAAAAAGTAAGTAGGAGACAACCCAATGGTAAGGGAGATGAACAGGCAGTTCATATAAGAGAAAATCTGATTAACTATTAAGGATACTAAAAGATGCCCAACTTGACTGGTAACCAGAAATCATAAATTTAAAACAATAAATGCTATTTTACATCTGGAAAACTGGTTAATATGTAAAAGTCTGAGCCAACCAAATGTTGGTCAAGATGTCAGAAGTGTAAATTGCCTCAACTACTTTGGAGAAAAATTTGAGAAAACCCTCATAAAATGGAAGGTGCACATATCCTAGAACCTTGAGATTTCCGTTCTAGAAATAGTTACATGTGCAAGGATGTTCATTGCAAAGTGATTTGTGCAAAATGGGGAAACAAACTTTTCATCAAGAAGAATAAATAATCTAGGGCCTATCAATGGAATAAGATAATATGCCATAGTTAAAATGAATTAACATCTACAGCATGGATGAATATTGAAAATGTAATGAATAAAGAAGTTGAAAGATACTAGGTATAGAAATTTGTCAAATGTTATGACCAAAAATAAAACAAACCACCAGTATCATATAGGGTGTCCCCCCAAAAATGTATACATACACTTTGAATAATTCTAAAGGTACATTCATTAAAATATATTTCATTTTTGAAATTAGCTGTTGGAATTGTGTATACCTGTATTGTATAATGGAAGATACATATATATGCAGAACAAAGTATTAAAACAACCAGGAGACTTGGTATTCCCCAACCTTAGATTGTCATTACTCCTGAGAGGTAAAAGGAGAGCAATGTGTCGGGAGGGACATTAGCTGAATGTGTACCCTTTTTTATTAATATATGAAACAAATACACTAAAAATGCAAAATCCGTTAAATTTAAGTGGTAAAATGGTACTAGTTATACTATTTTATGTACTTTTCTGTACCTTTGGCATATTTTGTAATTAAATATATCTTTTTTTTTTTTATTGATTTCAGAGAGGAAGGGAGATAGAAAGAAACATCAACAATGAGAGGGAATCATTTATTGGCTACCTCCTGCACGAGAGGGGATTGAGCCCACAATCTGGGCATGTGCCCTTGGCCGGAATCGAACCCGGACACTTTAGTTTGCAGGCCAGCACTCTATCCACTGAACCAAACCGGCTAGGGCTTAAATATACTTTTGAGACAAAAAAAAAAAAAAAAAAAAAAAAAAAAAAAAAAAAAAAAAAAAAAAAAAGAGTGGGCAGTGGGTGTGGAATCAGACCAAGTATGTTTGTGTCAGGACATTCCCACTGACATGCAGTGTAACGTGATATATAAGTCACTCTTGGGAAACTGGATGAGACTCATGATCTGCTAAAGTCATGCATGTGTCCTGTAAAGCCTAAGAATCCGGTTCTCTCGGTATTTCATTCTAAGAAGAGAAACTGGGGGGCCAGTGGGGGACTGCATTCCTGAGACCAAGGCCATAGAGAAGTCACAGAAGCAAAGGTAGAGAGAAC